TCCAGAGGCCACTGGGGTCCTCATCCCAGGGTACAGAGAAGAGAGGTGCAGTGGTGGTAGAGAGACCAGTTTAATGTGGACACTCAAGGCCTGGGTAGAGTGGGGAGTGCTCAAAAGTTGGGCAGGCAGGCAATGTGAGTGGATGGCAAGCCCATGACCTGGCTCCAGGAGGGGATGCCGGGCAGTGGGGGCCGGCTCAGGCAGGCAAAGGGGAGTGCCAAGAGGGTGGCCCAGACAGGCAGACCCACCATGGGATCCACAAGCCAGCCCTTGAGAAGGTACCTAAGCCAGGTGGTGAGTGTCCAGGCCAGAGCCTGGCTTGGGGAGGCAGGGTTGGGGCCTGGTTGGGCTCTCCCAGAGCCTAGTGGGTGGCATCACTGGAGGCCTCCCCAAGCTGCTGCTGGAACTCGAGGCGCGTTTGCCTGTTGGACTCGAGCAGCTCCTGGAGGCGGGCGTGGAGGTGGTCATTCTTTTCCTCTAGGTGGTCCAGGCAAGAGTTGATTTGGTCCAGCATGGAGTTGATGGCAGCGTATTCTGGGAGGAAGGGGAAGACACAGCCCAGGTCTCATGCCTCCTTGAGACTCAGAACTACCCCCACAAACACACTGTCCCCCAGCTGGCCTACCTTGGGGGCTGGGAGATAGCATCAAAGGGACCTTGAGCAAGTCCCTACCACTTCCTGAGCCTCAATCTCACCATCTGGAAAATGGATGGATACCAAAAAGGGAAAGGCTTTTCCCTAGGATTAGGGTGGTCACAGGATGGTCAGCCAGACAGTTTCTTACCTGGGAAGTCCTGCTACGTTCCAGGTCTCCTCTCTGCTTCCCTCAGTAGATGCCTAGAGCCCAAAGCCCATGTTCCTGTGTCGGGCATTCAAGGCATCTATCCCCAGGTCCTGCCTCACCTCCTCTCCTCCCCAGGCAGGCCCTATTCTCCAGCATTCTGTGGTTCCCTCCACCCTCAGGATAAAGCCCAAAGCACCCACCAGACTCTCCAAGGTCCTGCAACAGGACCCACCCCTGCTCCCTTCTTGAGCACCACCTCCCATGCCTTTTCTTTTCCACCCTCACACCTGCCTCTGCCTACCTCAGGCCCTTTGAACATGCCATTGCCTCTGCCTGGAACGCTCTGCGTCCTCTTTCTGTCTTCCTTCCTTCCTCTCCTCCTGGATGGGTCCCACTTATCCTTCAAGTCTCAGCATGGATGGTATCACAGGGAGCCCTCCTGATGCCCCAGACTGGATCAGGCCTCTATTCCTGACCCCACTGGTCTCCTCACCTCCACAGCCCTTGTCTCAGGATTTACTGCTGTGGTTATTTGTGTACGGGTCTTGTCTTGTTCACTAATGCTTCCCCAGTGCTGTCACTGTCACACAATTAGCATTTTGTTGGATGAAAGAATGAATGAATGAATGAAGCTTCTGATTTCTAGCCTCTGTGCCTTTGCTCAACTGTCCCGGCCACCTGGAATGTCCCAACCACAACAACCTTTCAAGGACCAGTTCAAAACACCTCCTCCTTCAAGAAGTCTTCCCTGGCCTCCTTCCTCCATGGCCACTCCTGACCAGTTCTCTCAGCAACACAATGTCCCTTGCCTGTGCCCAATGCAGAAGCCAGTTCTGAGCCAGCCCATGACTCAGGCCCCTGTGGCTCAGACATGCTCAGCTGCTTACTCAGGACCAAAGGGGAAGTAGCTGGTAGTGGTTGGAAACGGCCAGGGCCAGAAGAGCATGACTGGGATGTGGGTGCTAATGTGTCTGCATTCATGGGGAAGGGCACCCATCACTTCATGGATGACATGCCTCACAGAGGAAAGTCCTGGCAAGTCTCGGCTGCATCTTAGAGTCCAACTCTTTAGTGGTACAGATGGAGAAACCGAGGCCTCAAAGGCAGGGACCTGCCCAGGGACTTCCAGTGGGTCAGTGGCAGGGCCAAGACTCAGACTTGGGGGATAGGCAGACCTGGGTTTGACGTCCAGCTCTGCCAAGTCCCAGCAAGTTATTGTATCTCTCCGGAAAAGGGGGATAAGAACTGGGTGGTTGTGAGGATAGAAATATATCAAGAGTTCAGATAGGGTCTGGCCGCAGCAAGTACTTTATCGATGGTCATTATTATCAATATTTTGCATTATGTGTCATGGGACACAAGCCAGGAGAAGGGATGGGGGAAGCAGGTGTCCCCACACCACTCCTGTGCCGAGCTTTTTCTGTGTCAAGGGCACTTTCCAGCTCCAAGCCTTTGCCTTCTGCCTGGGACACCCTCTTTCCCACTGTTCTAAGTCCTGTGAATCTGCCAACATCATTCAATGTGACCTTCCTGGGAGGCCCTTCCAGATGCCCCCACCACAGCTGCAGCACTGCCTGGCCAAGGTCCTCCTGCCAATAGTGATTACACACATATCGATACAGGCCACCAGCATTTCCCAAGGCAGACCTAGAGCCCACCACTCAGCTCCCCAGTGGGAGGGCTTCTATCTCTTTATTGAAAGCAGACCCTGGGTGATAAAAATGTTCTAAAACTGATTGTGGTGATGGCTTCACAACTCTGTGAATATACTAAAAACTATTGAATTGTACACTTTAAATGGCTATATTGTATGGTATGTGAATGATATCTCAATATAGCTGTCCAAAAAGAAAAAAAAATCATACTTACCCCACATTTACTAAGTTTTTTCCTCTAAGTTAATAAACCAGTCTTTATTACACTAAAGAGAATAATAATAATAATAACCACTTACTGGACAGTTACATGCTTGGAAACCAGCTAAGTATTTTCCGTTCATTTTCTCATTTAATCCAGACACATCTCAGTGAGAGAGAGGTTAATCATTATTCCTAATTTACAGACGAGGAAACTGAGGCTCTAGAGGGTGGAATGGGAGCCACTGGTTCTGTCTCCACACTTTGCCCTCCACCCCCAAATTCCTCTGCATTCAACAGGCTGCTTTGTAAACAGGTCACATCAGCAAGGCTTGGATGGAGACCACAACAGCAAAGCCAGGGGCCTGGGGATGCTGACTCAGCAGAGCGAGCGCACCCACCCGTCAGCGCCTCCTGCTAATCCAAGCAGGCCCAAACCCGGCCCCACCCCCCTCAGGTGCCTCCGTCTCCGTAGAGGCTGAAGGAAGTGGCTAGAGCAAATCCCAAACGGCCAAATGTCCCTGAAGTTGCCTCAGTTTCCCCACCTGTAAACCGAGGCAGATCGTCCAGTTTTCCAATGCTGCACTTTCCAAGGACCCGCTCGCAAGCGCTCGCCCTGCACCCCCGAGGCGGCGCCTGCAACTCAGCACTCACCCAGGGATGGGAGAGAAGAGGGCTCTTCGGTCCCTTCCAAGCTCCAAACCTGGCCCCAATTCCCATCCCCAGGAGGGCACCCCTGCAAAGGCAAAGGTAGCTTCAGCTGCCCCTCTCTGTCACCTGCTTCCCCGAAGCCGTCGTCCTCCCCTTCCGCACCCGCCTCCACCGGCATGCCTAGGTCCCCGTTGGGGCCCGACATCGCAGGCTCGGGCGCCACAGGGGCCGCAAGAAGATGGAACACCAGGACCGTCGCACCGAAAGCCGGCGCTGGGCGGAACGTAGCAGCAGTGGGCAGAACGCCAGGCCGGAAGAGTGGAACGAGGGGGCGGGACGCGGCCTGGAGGTCCAAGTCCCGCCCCCGCTGCCCGCATCCCGCGGCTCCAGCTCCGCCCCCGTCCCGTCCCACTTCCAGACCCCGCCTCCGCGACCCAAGCTCTGTCCCGCCCCACCGTCAGACTCCGCCTTCACTCAGCCCAGGCCCCACCCCGCCCTGCCTCACAGTCAGAGCTCCGCCCACATCCCGCCTCTGCCCCGAAGCCCCGCCCCTCTCCTGGTCCCAGAGGAGAAGCCTAAGCGTGGATCGACTGGCATTCAGGTAAGGCAAACGGGCCTGTCAGAGGGGGGAGAGCAGCCCGAGACTCCCACTTTCCTCTTTCTACCGCTGGGGACCTCCCTGTCGGCGGACCAGACCATCACTGTGGGCAAAATCTGAGACGCGTGGTTTCCAAGTCTTCCTATGGCTTCGGAAAAATTTCCGTTCTGCAGCTCTCCTAAGAGTCACGGAGGGGCTACCTCCTCCCCCACCCCCAGCCCAACGGAGGTGGCCCACCCCATCCCCTGTCCTGGGCCTGCCGGCCCTTCAGTTCTCCTGGGGCTCTCAATGGCTGCCCTGTCCCAGCCGGCCAGATCCTGAGAGTGGGAATTCGGTCGGGACTCCAACCCTGGACCGGAAAGTAGAGGAAAGTCCGTTTTAGGAAGATCCCCATCCCTAGGCTTGGGGGCAGGGGCAAAGAGTGAGGCTCCCCCTAAGCTTCTGCTTTTCCCAAACCCCACCTAGGACTGTGTTTCATGTTATAAAGAAAATAGTTTGCTGACTTTATCAACAAAGAGAAGAGATAACCTAAAGATTGGGAGAAAATTTTGAGGAACCATATATCTGACAATAGTTTAATATCCAGAATATATAAAGGACTCGTACAACCTAACAGGGTCCCTGAGCGGCACAGTTTGTGCTTGTCCACTAACCTAAAGGTTGGTGGTTCAAACCCACCTGGCAGCATGGTGGAAGAAAGGCCTGGCAGTCTGCTTCCATAAAGATTATAGCTAAGAAAACCCTACGGAGCTCAGTACTACTCTGTAACACACAGGGTCACCATGAGTCAGAATCATCTTGACAGCAACAGGTAATAGGTACAACTTAACTGACTCCTCACCCATTGCTGGTGGAAATGCAAAATGATGCAGCCGCTGTGGAAAACAGTTTGGCAGTTCCTCAAAAAGTTAAACATAGAACTACTATATGACCCAGCAATTCCACTTCTAGGTATATGCCCAAAAGGATTGAAAGCAGGAATGCTAACAGAAACTTGTACACCAATGTTCATTGCAGCACTATTCACAATAGCCAAAAAGTAGAAACATCTTAAATGTCCATTAATAGATGAACGGATAAACAAAATATGGTACATACACATAATGGAGTATCACTCGTCATAAAGAGAAATGAAGTTTTGATACATGCTACGACTTAGATAAACCTTGAAAACCTTATGGTGAGTGAAATAATTTAGACACAAAAAGACAAATATTGTATGATCCCACATATTTGAAATATCTAGAAGATAGCAGATACAGAAAAGTGTCAGGGGACACAGAGTTCTGCTCTTCTGGTTGGTGAAATGCCATTGTCCCAAGGAGGATCTCTTATGGGTCAGCATGGGGCAAATGCCCAGCCGTCCTTCCTTCTCAGCCCCACTCAGACCTCCAACCTGCACGGCCCTGGCTCAGCCTCGCCTTTCCCAGGAAGACAACCAGTCCCAGGGAGCAGATCCTTCCACTGTTAGGACCCCCATCCCAACATGGGGACTGGGCAGGGAAGTCCCTCACCTTCTCCTGTTGGAAGTTGGGCTGCAGAGACCTGAGCCTGGGGCCCGGGGTTAGGGACCAGGGCCAGGGTCTGTAGGACCCCCAGACCCCAGACTCCCCAGCAGGACCAGCTCCACCCACAACATTTGAGGAGTGGCCATTCTCCAGAGCCTAAACAGATGCTGGGGCCTAGTGCCATGGGCGTAGGCAGAGGGAGGGAAGCGACAGAAGTGGAGGGCACTGGGAGACCCCTATTCATGGGCCTGGCTTGGCTTCCAGCCAGGGTCTAAGAGCAGCCCAGTGGAAGCTCGTGATCCTGGAGGGAGCAGGATGGGTGGATGGAACAAAACTGTGGTCTCATCCTCTACTTATGAAAGAGACTTCATCCTGGAACAGGACTGGGCCCTGCTACCCATGTGGCTGAAAGAGGAGGGCAGGAGGCAGAGGCCACCTTTGTGGCTGGCACCTTCTCCAGTCCCAGAGAGCAGAGCTGACCTAGATCCCACCCATCCCACACCTGTGGTATAGGCCCACACACCAGACCAGAGGAGAGAACAGCCACTCCCTCTATCAGCTGGCCCTGATTGAAGGAGGGGGTATGTGCCTTGGCTCGGCCCTACCTCTGGGGCAGCTGGACACTTCCCACCTAGGATGGGGACCCTCTCATCCTCCATCTCATGAGCCCTATCACCATTCTCTCTCCAATCCTGTGTGCTGGGCTGACTAATGGCCCCAAAGATATCCAGGTCCTAATCCCTGGAACCTATAAATGTTACCTGATTTGGCAAAGAATATTGAAGATACCATAGACTGCCAAAAGAACGAACAAATCTATCTTGGAAGAAGTACAACACAGAATGCTCCTTAGAAGCAAGGATGGCAAGACTTTGTCTCACATACTTTGGACATGTTATCAAGGAGGATCAGTCCCTGGAGAAGGACATCATGCTTGGTAAAGGAGAGGGTCAAGAAAAAAGAGGAAGACCCTCAATGAGATGGATTGATATAGTGGCTGCAATGATGGGCTCAAGTATAACAATGATTATGAGGATGGCACAGGACTGGGCAGTGTTGCGTTCTCTTGTACATGGGCACTATGAGTCGGAACTGAGTTGACAGCACCTAACAACAACATCTGGGAAAAAGATTTTTGTGGAAGTGATTAATGATTTCAAGATGGAGAGGTTATCCTGGACTATCCAGGTATCCCTAAATTTAATCATAGTATCCTTATAAGAGGTAAGCAGAGGGAGCTTTGACTACAGACAGAAAAGAGAAGGCGATATGAGGAGCTCAGCAGAGAGAGAGAGAGATTGGAAGATGCTATACTGTTGGATTTAAAGATGGAAAAAGGGGCCATAAACCAAGGAATACTGTTCTAGAAACTGGAAAAGGCAAGATTACTGATTCTCTTCTAGACCCTTCTCATGGAGTGTTGCCCTGTGTCTTAGTCATCTAGTGCTGCTATAACAGAAATACCACAAGTGGATGACTTTAACAAAGAGAAACTTATTCTCTTACAGTCTAGTAGGCTACAAGTCCAAATTGAGGGTGCCGGCTCCAGGGGAAGGTCCTTGTCATCAGTCTTCCCTTGGTCTGGGAGTTTCTCTGCACAGGAACCTCAGGTCCAAAGGACACACTCTGCTCCCAGTGCTGCTTTCTTGGTGGTATGAGATCTCCATGTCTCTCTGCTCACTTCTCTCTTTTGTATCTCAAAAGAGATTGGCTTAAGACACTGCCTAATGTTATAGACCTCAATATAACTGCCACTAATCCATTTTATTACATCACAGTGATAGCATTTACAACACATAGGGAAATCACATCAGATGATAAAATGGTAGAGAATCATTTAATACTGGGAATCATGACCTAGCCAAGTTGACAGATATTTTTGGGGAACACAATTCAATCCATGACACCCTGCCAACACCTTGATTTCGGCTCAGTGAAACTGATTTCAAACTTCTGACCTTCAGAACTGTAAGAGAACAAATGTGTATTGTTTCAAGCAACCAAGCGTGTGGGAATTTGTTAAGGCATCCAGAAGAAACTAATATACCTGTTGACTCAGGAGAAAACACAATGCCCGATTTGTGCCCTAAGAGCTTGTTCCTTAAAGGCCCAGAGGGCCTGGGTGGTGACAGGAAGCTTGGGCCAAGGTAAAGAAGCTGGATCTGCTGCCCACAGTGGAGCTGGAGGTCATGCATGCTGGTCTCAGCTTCTTCCCCTTGGCCAGCTTTGGATATCTGGCCATAGTTCACTGGACTCCCATTTCAGTCTGGGGCCTTTTTAGGCTTGGGCATGGGCCCCCGTCTCTCGCTCGCAGCCTGCACCAAGCTGGTCTGCCCAGAGTCTAGCCCCACTTTCCAAGGCTGCTGCAGCATTTGGTGGAAGTGAGTCTCAGGCCTGTCCTGTTATCTGGGGGACTGAGGCTGGGACTGCTCACAGCTCCAGTATCTCCCCCTGCCCCTAGACAGGTGTGTATGTCTATGGGGTGGGTAGCCAAGTTTCTTCAGGGCCCCACTCCCTCTGGCCTCTGACCTTGCGAGAGGAGAAGAGGTCAGGGAAGAAATTCCTGTTGTATGATGCAGACACAGAGGAGCTGCAACTGTGGCCAGTGAGTGGACAGGGCTTTGCTCATCCCCAGAACACAGGCCCAGCCAAGCAGTGGGTACAGACTCCTGATCCCAGGGCCTGGAGTTTTGGAGTCTTCTACCTAGAAGCTGGTAGCATCACCCTTCCAACCCCCTACCTCCCCACCCTCCACCCCCATCCTTGGCTTCAGAATGGTCCCCAGAGTGGTCCAGAAGTGATCATGGGGGAGGCATGGCGTCAGAGACAAAATTCTGAATGGTCAGCATGGGCACTGCCACCTATCAAGTGAGGGCAGAAGGGTAGATACTGGGCCCACAGGGGCCTGGCAGGGGTCAGGGGACCACCCCTGTTGATCTCTCTGCCTGGCATAGCCTCAGGCTGGGCGTGCACCCTTTCTGCCTAGGCTGCTATGTCCCAGTACCCACATGGGTCCCGGAGAGATGGGGGCAGCTGCACCTCAGCCACTCTAGGGCCCCTGCAGCTCTCAGCCCTGGCTGGGCCTCTGCTGCGGAGCCTGTTGCAGGCATCTGAGTGTGGTCATGAGGTAAGGCCCCATCTATCTTCTGGACTGGGTGCCCTTTGCAGGCAGGGGCATGTGAGAGCTGCCCAGGGTTGGGAGCTTGGAAATGCTCAATCAAAGCAGGAGTGAGTGAGGTATTTCTGCATGGAAGGGCTCGGGGGCAGTCACCTGTGAGAGGGCTGAAGCAGCCCCTTGAATCTTCTTCCCTTTGCCCCTTTGCTCTGTAGCTCTAACATCTGTGTGGGTTCTGTGGCCTCCATCCCTTGATGGGAACCGAGGGGCCCTAGGAGCGATGCCAGTGAGAACCTGCCCCTTGCCCCTCCTCCCATGGCCCAGGCGTCAAGGAGCACAGTCTCAGGGCCCTAGTGGTATGTGTTTATTTAGCAGGCAATACGGGCTGGATCAGGAAGGTGGCCAGGAACAGGGAGCATGCTCCTCAGGCCACGCCAAGTGGAGGGTCTTCTGGCTCTCTCACTGCTGTTGGGGCTGGTGAGGGTGGCTGGGGGCACGCTGGGCAGAGGCCAGCCCCTCCTCAGGGCAGCCATACTCACTGCAGTCATGCATCATCGATGCACTGGTCTGTAGGGGAAAGAGTCAGTCAGAACAGCAGGGGTGTGTGTATGTATGTGTGTGTGCGTGTGAAACCTGACTGCCTGGGCCCCTGCAATTCCCCTGCACTGTCCCAGGCCCCAGCATGGCCCATTAGCAGGTCTCGGGGTTCCCTTCAGGGATGGAGTCACAGAGGAGCCAATGAAGGGGGTGGGCAGGAGCAGGAAGAGGAGGGAGAATGTGGGAGAAAGGCCTGGGAGAGGGCTGACCTGGGGACACCCAGAAGGCAAGTGAGGCCCAGCCCCACACCTGCATAGGCACCTAGGCCTCCTGCCTGTTTTCTGGCTGAACCCTGGCAGCCTCTCAGCCTGGAAGCTGGGGGCTTTCTGAGTGGGCTAGCAGGAGCTCTCTGCCCAGACCAGGTCACCTGAAGACAAAGGCACCTCCCAAGTCAGTGGAGAGCAAGCCCCAGGGTGAGGGGAGTTGGCTCAGGACAGCAGGACCCAGGGTGGGGGGAGGTAGCCCAGGGCAGTGACACTGGACCTGGACCTGGACCTGAAACTTCCATCCTGGTAACCTGTTGGGGAGGAGCACTTGGGGCCCAGATCCCCGCAGGGCCCACAGACCCAGGGTGGGACAGGGTCTTCCTGAACCCAAAGTGGCTTCCATGGGGCTCCTGGGCCATCCATCCCTCAGACCCCAGTGACTGGAGCAGAGGACCGAGTCCTCCTCCCTCCCATTCCCTGGTGCAGAGGCATCAGGCCTGGACAGTCCCCATGTCCCCTTCTCCTTCCCCTGACCAGCCATTACCAATTGGGACAGAGAAGATGATGTGGTCATCAGTGAGGCCCAGAGATTTGGCAAAGCGAACGAAGCGCTCCTTCAGCTCGGTGGTCAGCTCCTTGGTTCTCCCTGTGGCCAAGACAGCCGGTTCAACCCGTAAACACTCCATAAATATTTTGAATGAGGGAAGGAGACCTCAGACCCCTTCCTCACAGAGGGTTTAAGGAAAGACCTCTCTCCCTGGCCTCCCAGGAGTTTAGAGCAGAGCTGGAGGGGATCTTGGGGTCTGGGTGGGGATGGACCTCCCCTGTCTCGAGTGTGGCTAGGAGCTGGGTCTCCGAGGAGCAGGGGTGAGGACTCACCGTACAGGGTGGTCTTGAAGTACTCCTGATTTTTAGTAACCTTCTTGAAGAACACTATGGCAAACTGGTTGTAGTTGGTGGCTGCCACCCGCACCGTGTAGCTGTGCAAATCTGGGAAACCTGCGGGTGGGTGACAAGGGGTAAACCCTGCCCTGGGGGAGGAAGGGGCTGCCCCCTACCCCGTATAATATCATCTGTATAGAGGGGTAGGGTGGTCTGTGCCCCTTCTGGGAGGATCTGGAAGGATCCGAGCCCCTGAGCCCAGGGCCCATGCCTCAACTGCGACTCACTCTTAATGTTGCCCAGGTTGAACTGGCCTGGCAGGAAACTTGGGACAAAAGTTCTAATCCAGTGGTAACAATCCTCATTCCTGTGGGAGTGAGAGATGGGCAGTGAGAGAGATGACACAGGCTTGGGCCCCCTGGGCTGGACAAGATGGGGGCCAGGGCTGCAGCTGGAGGGGCTGGGATTCTGATGTCCCCAGCCCAGCCCAACCCACGACAGCTCATCCCCCTTCTACAGCAGGAGGTTCCACCCCACGCAACTTGATGAGCCTGGCTGTTTCCCCTGTGAGCCTGTCCCTGGTTGTCCCTGCCTGGCCTGCTGCCCCAGGCCACCTGACCCTGTTCAGACCCTCCCTGCAGCACCCACTGTCCTCTCCTCAGGGCTGCCTCCCCTGGGTGGCTTTCCCTACCTACTGCCCCACCCCCAGCACTCATTCACTCCCTACTCTTTTCTTGCTGCTTCCCTTTCTATAACCTCTCCTGGGTGATTTACCCTCTGAGACTCTAGTCTGCTCCATGCCAAGAACGCCACTAGCTCTTAGACCAACACTGACCTCTCCCGAGTCCCACCCTCTGAGAACAGGGGTCATCCTGCCCCCCTTCCTGGCAGCCCAGAACTTAGCTCTCCAAATGTGCCTTCCTCTGCTCCTTGCTCCACAAATGCTGCAGCCCCAGACCACCCAGTTGCTAGAGCCAGAAACCTGCAGGGGTGGGATTATTCTTAGTTCCCCCTCTCCAAATCCTAATCTGCCCTGCCCCTGTCATCTTCACCTGTGTGACTGACCAGCCTCACTTTCTCCGGTCTCCCATCATCCCACTCTGCACCCTGCATTCCCTTCCCCGCTGTAGCCCCAGGACCCTGCCAGCTCCTGTTCAGGGCACCCAGGCTGACGGCTGCCTGCTTCCTGAAGGAGCAGCTCTCTCTGACTCAACTGTCTCCTGCAGTGAATGCCCTATACCTCCTTCTGAGGCAGGTTAGCTTCTTCAAGGCCCAGCCCAGAGGCCACCTCCCCAGAAGGCCTCCAAGAAGACTCAGGTGGGATTCTAGGCTGCATCCAGTATCCTTCCTCCAGCTCCAGGACACCCCTAATCTCTCCATCTTGTTTGCTGAGGATTGTCTGTGCCAGTTCCACCAGTGTCTTGTGTGTGTCTGCACTGAAGTGACCACTAAACGTTGGTTGGATGAATGAATAAATGAATTAATCCAGTAAGGAGCCGTGGGATGAATAACTGTATCACTCAGCTTGAGTCATCCCGTGGCTTTGACATCTGTCTGCTTCTCAGACCCCTGGGGTAGGCTCCCAGGTCCCAAGTGCTGCCCCAGGGGGAGGCGGCTCTCACTTGAGTAGGGTGGAGGTAACATTGTAGCTGCCATCTTCTTTCAGCTCGTAGGTGGTAGCGTACATCTTAAATTGGCCTTGTTCTTTCGAAACTGCATTGCCCCCCAGGCCGATGACGTACCACTTGCCCTGGAACTGCAGAGGGGACTGATGATGGGCAGAGCCCAGGTACAGACCCAGCAACCCTCCCTCTTGCCCCATCCCTGCTGGCACCTCTGGGAAACCTGGCCCAGAGGGGCAGGGGTCTTCCATCAGGGGACCTGTAGGCAGGGCTGGACTGAAGCCTGGGCCCTGGACTCCCTGAGTAGTGCCCCCCTCCCCAACAAAAGGACTCTTTAAGTCTCTGCCCCTCTACCCCCATTCCTCCCTGGGCCCTCCCTGCAGGATGCCCCTCCAGGCCCCTTACCTTGTCGTGCTGGAAGTCTGGCTGCAGAGGGACCCTGAGCAGAGGAGGGGCCGGGATCAGGTCCGGGGTATGTCTCCGGGCCTGGGTCTGCAAGGCTCCCAACAGGGTGAGGCCGAGCCACAGGAGGCTTAGGGGCATGGTTCCTGGGCTGAGGAAGCCTGAGTTCCAGGCAGCTACTGAGCCTGGCAGGTAATGAAGGAAGAGGAGGCGAGTGAGGAGACTAGCCTGGAGATTCTATTTATAGGCCTACCTGGCTGCCAGCCCGCCCCAGGGTGGGGTGGTCCATCCTTTACCAAATCCAGGAAGGGTGAGGCAATTGCCAGCAACTCCTTCTGAAACATTTAGCAAGATTTCTTCCCCTTTCTCCTCCAGGTCAGGATTGTGCAAAATAGAGGGGCAGGAAGGGCTGCGGGAAGGGTGGTGGGAGGGACATTCCCCAGAGCCCTGCACTTCCTGCAGGCATGAGGGCACCTCCGCATTCTTTGTGCCCCTTCCCTTCACTCTGAATTTGATCCCTGAGCTGGACAAGCTGTCATCTCTGACCTTCATGAGCCCTTGCTCTTAAGCCCAGGGTGGGGCATGTGTGGCGAGGCCCCCTCCCTGCACCTACTGAAAACAGAATGCCTTACCCCCCAGACGATGTGCTGTTTCCTGGTTCTCCTAAAGGACAGGGAAGGGGGTGGGGTCAGGGGGGCGGTGGGTGGGTGGTGGCTGACAGTGGACCTTCCTGACAGGAGAGGACACAGTGTCTCTACTCTGAGCCAGCTGAGTCCAGATCCTGGCCCTCCCAGGAGCCCACACCAGGCCCTGGCACAGGGTGAGATGCCAGAGAGACTGACCTGGAAGTGCGCCTCAGCTTGGGAGTGCTCCCCGCCTTAAGTCAGTGCATCCCCTCCTCTATGTCCCATTTGCAGCACTCTAGGCAGTCATTGGGGGCCCAGTGGGCAGAGACCCCAAAGGGGACACGTGGGCCACATATGTGGCCTTCAGCAGAGCAAAGCACTTAGACCGCAGTCCCAGCTCCATTCTGGAGCCCTGGTGTGGGAAAGATGAGGGGTGTGCATCTGCCCTTGGTAGGGCAGGCATACCTTTAGCCTGGTGGGCTGGGCCCCAAGGTGGGTGCTCCGCCCTGCTGCTCTGGATACTAGTTGCTTTGAGTCACCGAGAGTGTGAGGACATGGGCTTAGCCTTGAGAGGTTATCAAGACCACCCCCCGTCTCTGGCCAGGCAGATTGGAGACAAGCCTGGGCCTTGGGCTGGATGCCCAGCGTCTCCCAGAGATAGTTGATCTCAGCTTTGTCCTGGAGAGAAAGTTTCCTCACTAGGGGCCTGGCCAGTGTCCTTGGGAGGCAGTGACGGGTCCCAGCCCCGCTGCAGTATCTCCCAGAGATGGTTCACCCATGAGGACCAAGGCTATCCTGAACACCTAGTGCCCTCTTTCTGACCTCAGGCTGAATTGAGGGTTTGCTGCCTCAGATGGGCCTCACAGGGACCCCACTGGCTCTACCCAACAGCTGCTTAGGAATCAGTGTCCCAAACCTGAGCTCTGGGGCAGCAGGGCCCTGAGTGAAGCAGCTTTGGAGGGAGTCCTAAGCTGGTAGGCAGGGTGCAGCCTCAGCCCCCACTAGACACACACACACCCCAGCCCTCTCAAGCCTGTCTTGCCCTCCCTGTGGGGGTGATGAAAGGGCAGGAAGAGAAAATGAGCAAAACTGCACGCGAACAATGTTGATGTTGCCACCAAAGCCCGCCCCCCCGACCTCTGGCCTCACAGCCCCTGGTGGCTCAACCCCTGTTCAAAGATGCTACTTTCTTTGACCTTAAAAGGTAACTTTGAGCCTGTGGTAACTGTTGGAAATGGGGATACTGGTGGATGGAGCCCCAAATAATTTTAAGTTAGGGGAGGGTCAGCACCCTGGATCATTGAAGATACACTGGACAGAGTATTCTGGACCCTGGAAGTCAGGAGGCAGAGTCACCCCAGGTGGGGCTCCAGGACATGAAATGGGGCAAGGGGCGAGGGGAGGCACAGGCTGTGCATTATGAGAGAACTAGGGCTGGGTGTAGGAGGGGGACAGCCTAGCCCAGGGGCCCCCAGGCTGAGTTTGAATCCTGGCTCCTCTAGGTGCATGTACCCCACCCCTCCAGCTTCCCCCTCTACAGATTCAATGAGGCCATGCAGGACAGAACCTGGGAATTTGGGTGTCCCTGCATGAGGTCTTCTTTGAGTTTCTGTCCAAACCCACATCGGTCCCATTCTTCTATCTGAACTGGCTCCAGGCCTCTTTCAGACCCACTGGCCTTGTCTCAAGGAGCCCTGGTGGTACAGTGGTTAAGCACTCGGCTGCTAACCAAAAGGTCAGTGGTTTGAACCCACCAGCTGCTCTGCAGGAGAAAGATGTGGCAGTCTGCTTCCATAAAGATTACAGCCTTGGAAACCCTATGAAGCACTTCTACTCGGTCCTATAGGGTCGCTGTGTGTTGAAATCGACTTGGAGGCAACAGGTTTGGTTTTCTTGGTTTTGGCCTTGTCTCTCTCTGTGTCCCTGTCTCTGCCATCGGGCTTTGCCTCTGGTGACACCAGTGACAATCATCTCATTATCCTTTCCCCACCTGGCTGCTTCCTGCTTTCTTTCTCAGCACAGTCCTGGAGGTTGGATGGTCCAGGAGCTGGCGGATGGGATGAGAGTGAAGGGGACGAGGCCTGTTTGAGTCTCAGCTGTGCGGTGTCCCAGCCAGGTCTCTTGGGGGTCCAGGGACGGTCATAGCCGTGGCTGGGGCAGAGGCCAGGCCAAGAAGTGGAAGATCCTGGTCAACGAGTGCTCTGCGCTAGGCTGGCTGTGGCTGGAGGGGCAGGGGCTCAGCTGGGGGCACTTACAGCTTTCTGCCTGAGGAAGGGGAGGGGTCTAGCAGACTCAGTGGATAAAGGTGATGAAGGTGAAAGGCTTCTCACCCTCTTCAGAGTCCAGCAGGGTTGGGGGGACTCCTTCTCAACCTCCAACACACACCTCACACAAGTTGTGAGACTCAGCTCTCGGGGGGCTGGGTGAGGACCATGGTGTAGACCTTGGACTCCTGACTAGCTCCAAGGGCTCAAGGGTGGTCAGTACACTGGAGGCCTGCACTCCTCAGAACTCCCTTGGAGGGGGCTCGAGGGTTCACACTGTCTAGAGATGGGGCAGTCCCTTGGCCCTGGGGCTCTCGTAATGGTCTGAACCACAAGTGTGTCACCGTGTGTGGTACAACACCCACTCTCTCATCTCCCCTTCCCCTCTGGTTTCCACTGTGGTTCCTAGAGGAGGCAGATCTGATCCTGCAGGACCCCGGGTGTCGGCCCAGCTGGGCAGCAGTGAGACATCAATCCACCTGCGTTCTGTCTCCAGGAAGCGGCAGCTGTTTAGAGTGCAGCCTGCACAACCCTGTCTTGGGAGAAGCTAGGGCTGGGCCTTTGGAGTCCTGCTTGGGGTTAGCAGCTGCAAGAGCTTAAAAACTGTCACACCCCTGTGGCAAGGAGCCAGGAGAACAAGGGCTCCTGCCTCCCCCACCCCATAGGGGTCTTCTCCCCCCACCCACTATGTTGTCCAGACCACCCCCACTGTCTCTGGTGGGTCGCTCTCCTCCCATTCCCACGCCCAAGAGGAAAGCCTCTGAAGAAACAGCAGCAGCCTGTCCTCCCAGAAAGGCCTGTGCCCACCCCTGGTCTAATTCACCTGTGAGGGCAGTGAGACACTCCCTGGTGGTGCTTGCATCCTGGTAATCTAATCTGGGTCCCTAGTCTGGCTTCCAGAAGCCCTTGAGCAGCATCCAGCCTGGCCATGGATGGTTGAGGCCAAAGAAGCCCCCTCTCACCTGTTTGAAGGGCTGGGCAGGAGGTCTCCAGGCAGGTAGGGACTAGACAGGCTTCTTGGTACCTCCTTGGACACTGAAGGGTCAGGCTGGGCACCCTTTCCCTGGGAGTGGGAAGAACCACTTATGGTAAGTTCTTGGGTTGAGTCTCTTATTTCCAGAAGTAGCTTTCCAACTTCCATGACTCCATCTCCATGCCATAACTCACCAAGGGGGTTTCAAGGATCTCCTGGCTCCTGCCCCTTCCACCTGACAGGGTCCCTGCTCTGAAAGGCAGCCCCTACCAGCACACCCGATAATGCACCCACTGGAGGGAGCTGCTTCCCTGACCTCCTGCCAAGAGAGGGGCATTTTACAGAACCACTGAAGGGGGGGGGGTGCTGACTTCTGACCTTCATGCTTGTGGACTGGGGTCAGATATTGCCAAGAAAAGTCTAAAGGCAAAGGATTGTGGCTAGGCAGTAGAGAGGAGGGGGCTGTCCTTGAGGGGCTGCTGATTCCCATAGGCAGGCAGGGGTGAATGCATCTTCATGGACCTTGGGGAGGAGGCAAGCTCGGGTCCTTCTGAAAAGCAATCCTAGCTGAACAGTAGACTGGACACCCTGAAGGGCTCTCCTCTGCCGGACAAGCAGATCTTGCATAAAACAGACTCTTAACGCCCTGCTGGGCTCACAACAAAGAAGGGATGTTTATAGTATCTTACTAAATGTGTGTTTTAGAATAAGAAAGCATGCAAATTCATAAGAGAAGTATCCAAAGTAAGAATTTAGAAAAGAAACCACAGAATAACCCCAAAGACAATAAAAAACCAAAGACAATAGAAGGCGAAAATTAAGTTAAGAGCAGAAATTAATAAAACAGAAACAAAATCAAAGGAATATAAAAGCCAAAGGCTGACTCTCGGAAAAGACTTGTAAAAACATGGATAGAAATTTGGGAAGATTTCACAAGACAAAAAAATATAAAGCACAAATGAACAATATTAAGAATTAAAAAGGAACATAACTTGAGTAAGGACAGTGTTGATGTGTTGTGAGGTTGTTAACCATTGTCATAGGGCAACATGTGTACTAACTGTTAAATGAGAAACTATTTTGTTCTGTAAACCTTCATCTAAAGTGAGAATAGCAGCACAATTGGAAGAGCGTAGTCGATGTCACTGAACTGTGCATGTAGACATTTTTGAAATGTATCTTTGTGTATCTTTGGCTATGTATATTTTCACCAAAAAAAAAAAAAAAGGTCGAGAAGAGAGGGGGTTGACATGTCGTGGGGTTGTTAACTAATGTCATAAAACAATATGTGTACTACTGTTCCATGAGAAACTATTTGTTCTGTAAGCCTTCACCTGAAGTACAATA